CTAGAGAACAATCTCTTCAATAAATTTCAACTCAAAAAGACATCCTATAAAAAGTGGAAATCTGGTCATAGTATTAAGGAAGAGTATAAGAGTACTGTGAACATGCAAGGAGAAAATTAAGAAGGACAAAGCACAATTTGAGATGCAGCTGGTAAGAGACATAGAAGACAATAAAAAGGGATTTTATAGGTATGTCAAAAGTAAGAGAGAGACCAGAGATTTCATAGGTCCCTTACAGAATGTGCAAGGAAGTCTAGTTACAGATGACGCAGAGAAGACTGGAGTATTTAATTTCTTTTTTAGTTCTATTTTCACAATAGAGGCAGCTACCAACTGACAGGTGCAGTTGGCAGCAGAGATGGGGAAGGAGCAAACAGCCTAGGATAGCGGCAGACCAGGTAAAAGATTATTTAGAGAAGTTAGAGTCTTTCAAGTTGGCAGGGCCAGAGGGGATGTACCTAAGGGAATTGGCTGAGGTAATTTTGGAGCCATTGGCTACCTTTTTTGAGAATTTATGGAGGTCGCGCAAGGTCTTGAGTGACTGGAAAAGGGCAAATATAGTGCTCATCTTTAAAGGGAAGGAGGAGGATCCAGGGAAATACAGACCAATCAACCCAGGGGTGGGCAAAATGCAGCCCACCAGGCCATTCTATCTGGCCCACGGGGCCCCTAAAAATTTTAGAAAATTAATATTTATCTGCCCCTGACTGCCTGTGATTCAGCCCTCGATGGCTTGCCAAAATTCAGTAAGTGGCCCTCCACCCAAAATAACTGCCTGCTCCTGAATCAACCTGATCTCTATACCTGGAAAAATCATGGAATAGGTCCTAAAGGAATCCATCATGAAGCACCTAGATGAGAACAAGGTGACTGGGAACAGTCAGCATGGATTCACCAACAGCAAGTCATGCCTGACCAAGCTGATTTCCTTCTACAATAATGTGACAGGCTCGGTCATTGGGGGAGAGCAGTGGATGTGGGATAACTTGACTTTAGCAAGGCTTTTGACACATTCTCCCACAATATCCTCATCAACAAGCTATGGAAATATAGACTCTAAGATGGATACATAACTGATTGGATCATTGTACTCATTGAGTATTCTCAGGTGGGGTTCCTCAGAGATCTGTCCTGGGTCCAATATTGTTCAGCATCTTCATTAATGATTTGGATGATAAGATCAAATGTACGCTTAGCAAATTTGCAGATGGCACCAAGTTAGGTGGAATTGTGGACACTCCAGAGAGCAACCCTAGGATCCGGAATGACCTAGATGTCCTAGAAAAATGGCCACAACCAACCAGATGAGATTCAGCAAGGACAAGTGCAGAGTGCTGCACTTGGGACAGAATAACCACATGCACAAATACAGACTGAGGGATAACTGGCTAGGTACTTCCTAGCCAGTCATCCCTCAGGTCTTTCTCTGCAGTACTACTGCAGAGAAGGACCTGAGTGTTATGGTGGACCATAAGCTGAATATGAATCAACAGTGTGCTCTTGTTGCCAAAAAAGCCAACAGCATACTGGATTGTATTAACAGGAGTGTCACTTGCAAATTAAGGCAAGTGACTCTTCTGCTCTATTCAGCACTACTGAGGCCTCATCTGGAGTACTGTGTCCAGTCTGGGACCCCTCACTTCAAGAAGGATGAGGAGAGTTTGGAAAGAGTCCAGCATAGGACAACAAACATGATCAGGGGGTTGAGAGGCAAGACTTGTGAGGAAAGGCTGAAAGAACTAGGGTTATTTAGTCTGGAGGAGTGAAGACCAAGGGGGATTTGATAACGGTCTTCAAATACCTGGAGGGTGATTATAGAGAGGATGGAGATGGGCTTTTCACTGTGGCTATAGGGGACAGGACTAGGAACAGTGGCCTCAAGCTGCAGCAGGGTAAACTTAGGCTGGGGATTAGAAGAAAGTTTCTGACTATGAGGGTGGTCAGGCATTGGAACAGGCTACCTAAAGAAGTTGTGGATTCTCCATGCTTGGAAACTTTCAGAAGTAGGTTAAACAGACACTTGCCTGGGATTATTTAGTTAGGAATGATCCTGCCCCAAGCAGGGGGCTGCACTAGGTGGCCTTCTGAGGTCTCTTCCAGCTCTGCTTTCCTTTGATCCTAATATTTACTGTACAGTACAATACAATACACATAGTTTTCAGCACTTCATAATGTGTTGTTTGATGATCCAGAAAATGATTATCCAGAATGATAATACTACTTAGTCTGGACAATCAACATTCTCTTGCATTTTTATAAAGCTGATTTTAATTTGGGGAGGGGGGGGAGTAGTAGTAAAAAATAAGCATCTCTCTTAAAAAGAAAGCAAAAATTAGACAAAGGGGTAAAAAGAGAGGAAAGCGGATACATGCAGAAAAAAGGGAGAGTTGGGCAGAAAAAGCTGGAAAAGGGAGAAAAATCAACAGAAAATGCACAATGAAACTATATCCATTCAGACAGAAGACAAGCAAATGCTGCCTTTGTATCATCCTTTCCTGGGGAACTGAAAATAATTTCCTAAAACAGTATCATTTAGGGAATTTGCTTTGTTTTGGCTCCGTCTTCCCTCAAAACATATATTTATGTAATCCTGAGAGAAAAAGCCCTCCAATATTTGTGCCAAACATTTGCAACTATTACCCTGAAAAAAATTCTGGTTTTAAATCTGCAGTTTAAGTTTGCATACACACTTTCTTCAGGCTGACAGGTAATCCATAGGTCTGAGCTAATTCTTTGCATTCAGGAGGGCAGTGTCTACACCATTAGAGGACATACACCACAGGTTTCCCAAACCCACTAGGCCATTTGCTTGTGCCCAGAGCCGGATACGAAAAGATAAACAAGTCAGGCCTGATTCTGCCATTGAGTTGAGCAGGGGTTTGTCAGTGAGTCAAGCCATGCCTATAACCCATTGCTAAAGAAAGACAGATGTTTGCATGGGTTTCCTTAGAGCAATGATTCTCCACCAGGGTGCTATAGCACCTTGAGGTGTCTTGAAATCCTTTCAAGGGGGCTGGGGCATGCCACTGTGTTAGCACTGTTAGATTTACAAACATGGTTTACAAGATAAACCTGTTTCAAATCTCAGATCCATCCCTGTGGCTTTTCTGAGTTCTCTGCAGCAGAAAAATGGCCTGGTTTTCTTTCTGTAGTCAAAAGAAGCCAGAAAACGAAGAGCTGGCATCTTCCAAGGGCTGTCTCAAGTCTAAGCAAGACTGAGAACCACTGCTCTAGGGAAACTAACCTCCCTGGCACATTTCCTCTGCATAAAAAAAAACAAAAAACAAAACAAAAAACATTTCCTCTGCATTCCCTCCTGCGTGAGGGGCACGTTGGCACCAGCCTCAGGACGTGTTTTGGCACAGAGCTGCGACACTGTAGCTTCACCCTATTGTCTGCATCACTTTCCACCCACACCCATGGCTCCCTCAGGGGCTGCTCATTTGGGTGGCAGGCGGGGATCCCCCCACGTGCCCTCCAGGTACTTCCCTCCCACAGAGAAGGGCTCTCCGGAGCCTGCCGCCCCACACAGCTGCTGCTCCTAAGCAGGGGTGCCAGCTGTTTGATCTGTTCCTGGAGATTTCCTCACACACCACAGTGACATTAATTACGGCATGTAGACATCACGCCAGGCAGGCGAAGGCACCTTACTATCACCTTTTAAAAACTCATCGGGCTACTGTATGCATCAGATTCAACATCGCCTCTGCGGGCTCGGATCAAGTGTATTACTTGAATGAACGCCCGGTCATTTCTGTCCCGGGTGCCTCTCCGCAGGCTCCTGGAGACGGATGTCAAATTCCTGGAGACACCAGGGGGGTTGGCAACCCGACCCCTAAGCCACCCCAGCCAGGCGCCCACCCGCTCTTCTGGGCAGCCTCCAGGGCTGAGCTATGCCCCCTGTGCGCCCTGCGAAGCAGCTGTGGGCGCCTCCGCAGCCGCACACCTGGGCCTGGGGGGTGATTTGCACCTTCCCCGGTGCAATCTGCCCCCTCCCCTGTCCCGCCCGGGGCCCCTCCCCTGCCCGGCCGCCCAGCCCCAGCCCAGCGGGCAGGACGCCGCGGCCCCGGCCCCGTTCCCGGGGGACAAGACCCCCCAGCACCCAGGTAGGCGCCAGGACGGGGGGACTCCTCTGCGCCCCGCATCGCTTTGGCTTGGCGGGCGCGGACGAGCCGTGGCGGGTCCCGCACTGCCCGGGCAGAGCCCTGCGGAGCCGCCTCCTGCTGCTGCTTGCACCCGCCCACCCCCTCCCTGCAGCAGAGATGCCCCCTGGGGCTCCTGCGGGAGGGGAAGAGCTGCCCCTTGTTTGCGGGGCCCGGGCACCCAGCGGGTGTTGGGCCCCGGGAGCCCCGTGCTGGTCCCTGGGGGCGCTGAGCCTGAGGGTCACTTCTTCCCTTCCCACAGCCCCTGGGCTCAGCTGCAGGAGAGGGGTGATTGCATAGGAGGGCTTTTCTTGGGCTTGGTCTGAAACTCCTGGCTGCCTAGAGGCTGGTGAGTCTTTGGGTGGTCTTGCAGGTCTGTTCCAGTCCCAAGTATCTGCTGCTTGGAAGTCCTTGCCAGCCTGTTGGGGAGACCGCACCTCAGTTCAGAGACTAAGCTTTAGGAGGTGTTGGATTTTCATTCAATCGGCTGAGGGAGAGCTGGGCAAAGGATGCTGTGAAGGAGCCCTTGTAAACCTTGGCTGGAGGAGGGAACGGCAGCTTGGCTCTCTCAGATGGAGACATGTATCATCCAAAAAAGTGATGTTCTTGTGTTTGTTGCAGTCGGGTATGGCCCTTATGTTCAAGTCTGATCAAGATCTACCCGAGGCAGCCTTCCCTAGAACAGCTGTTGCCTGTGACTTGGCTCCTTTAACACTGCTTCCCTTAACTTTGCTCAGTTTGACATGGCCTAACTTAATGCAAAGGTGTAGACCTCTGAGGCCAGGTAGGGTGTGATGGAGGGGTTACACTGTCTCTGCAGCACACTGTCCTCATGCCTGTTTTGCTTTCCTTCCCTAGATCTCTCTCCAGCTTCCTCCAGCTCGGGGATGTTCATTCAATACACCCCGGACTCTGCCACCAGCCCCAATGCAGAGCCCCTCTCCCCACACCTTAACCCCCAGAGGAGTGGGGCAGGAGGTGAGGGAGGAGTGAAGAAAGCCAAGACGCGGACAGCCTTCTCCCCAGAGCAGCTGCAGATCCTCCATCAGCGCTTCCAGAGCCAGAAGTACCTCAGCCCCTACCAGATCCGGGAGCTGGGCTCAGCCCTGGGGCTCACCTACAAGCAGGTGAACACCAAGGGTCTTATCCCTAGCATCTGCCTTGAAGGGGCTGAGCTGCACCTGTGATTTGAAGTGGTCTGCCTGCATGAGCTGAAGGGGCTAAGCTGCATGGTCAGTCTGGGAACAGGGAGGCCTCTGGGGCAAACCCTGAGGTCCAGTGAGCCTCTTGCTCTCCTAGTGTAATTTGCACACACATGCAGAGGGAGAAAGATATGCTCTGTGCATATCTTGCACTTGCTTTTGCACCAGCCACCTACTTTGCATGGGTGTTCAGGAGTAACTCGGGGGTGAGCAAGGAACAGTGGCAGGAAGCATTTTCTAGTGTTCCCTGTTCCTTGAGTTGGAGCCAGCCTCAGCATAGAGGAAAGGGAGAGTAGCCTGTAAAACTGTAGGAAGCACTTTCCACTCTGTCTTGTTGAACTGGCTGTTGTAATACTGGGGTCTGTGATACAGGAAGAAATGTGGGTGGCTTGTTTGGTTTGTTTTTTTTTCCACTGAGGGATGTTCTTCCCTTTGCCCCCCACTCAGCCGTTTGACAGATTGGTTCAGACTAAAAAAGGTAAAGGGGAGAATCTGCATTTCAGTGGTGGGTGAAAGTGCCATGTGTGTGCTTGAAGCCTAAAGATGGATGTCCTACCTTGTCTCCTGTCCTCCATCCTCTCCAGGTGAAGACATGGTTTCAAAACCAGCGGATGAAGTATAAGCGATACCAGAAGGAAAGTCAATGGATTGAGAAAGGCACATGCCTCCCTCAGGTATGAAGCCTGGTGGGATTCCACTGTCTTCACTACGGGTAGTTATCAGGGGGGCCTTAATAATATCAGTTGGATAGTTGTGTCTTTATCTTTTGGCTAATGTGGGATACTTATGAGCTTCCCTGCCGGTAGTTACTCCATACATTATTTTGCAGTATTAAATTTACTTTATCCCCTATGGCACCATATAAGTCTGTAGTGTGGACTACAAGATTAAAAAAAATAATAATAACCTTTCCATTTCTTAGCAACTTGAGCTGGTCTGTTTTCCAGACTGTAATGGGCTGGCATATGGGTCCAATCCAGCTCAGGGTACACCAGGTCTGTGAGGGGATTTGGAAACTTGTACCTCTAGACTAACAGTGTCATGGAAGTATGCAGAGCAGTGGCTCTCAACCAGGGTGTCTTCTGTACGATCCTATCAAGGGTGCTACATAGTATTAAGTGCAAACTACATGTGATTCTTGCAAGACAAACCCAGAGATTCTAAACTGAAATCCAGAGTGTCAAAGATCCCACCTGTTGTGGCCTTTCTGAATTGTTTGCAACGTAATTGTGTGTGTGTGTGTGTGTGTGTATCCAAGGTGATTCTACTTCCTCTCCTGCAAAAAAAAAAAAAAAAAAAAGCCGGGGGGGGGGAAAGCTATGAGGTGACAGTACTTGAGGGATGTCTTGAGTCTTAAGTTTTGAAACCCCCTGGCCTATGGGTTAGGATCCTGTTACACTTGGTCTGCAAAAAAAAATCCTGTCCCTCTCCAGAGACCTTGTATTGCATGTGTAGTGGGTGCCCCAGGGTCCTGTTTTCATCCATGACTTCTCTCTTTCTCAGAATGGGTTCTATCAGGCTGGATACCTGGATGTCGGCTCCGGTTACTACCAAGGCTGCTCTGTCAGTGCCAACAGGAACATCCAGACTGTAGCCAATGTGCATCAGGCCTATAATAGCAGCCCGGCCTACAGCAGCAGCCAGAGCCTGTACACTTTCATGGCCATTGAGGACGAGGGGACGTTCTTTGGGAAAGCTGCAAGTCCCTGCAACACCCAGCAAGCTGTGGGCTTCCTCAGCCCGCAGAAAGTGAACTTCTACCATGGCTTCCCCACAAATGTGGATTATGCCAGTGTGGAGTTGGAAGAAAGCTACAGTTTCCAGAATACCCCTGGCACTCCAGTGTCATTCCCGGGCTCTGGTGTGCGGCAGCCATACCAGCCGGTCTGGCACCCTCAGGGCACCCAAAGCAATTACAATTCCTAGGCCCTTTCTGGTTCCTTTTCTGCTCCCACTCGTGTCTGCTTTCTCCTTTTAAGTCTCTCAGGGTCCTGATCCTGCCAGGTGCCTAGTGCCCCTAGTTACAGCAGAGGCTCTGCACTTTGCAGGATCTGGCCTTCTCTTCCTTCTTATCTGTAAGAGTTGCCTGTCTGGTTATGTTCTGGAGTATATGCACACATGTGATGAAAGGCAGCTTCCAAGCTGTTGGCCCTGGCTGGCTCCAGGAATGGATTGTTGCTTTTGCTGATGTCAAGCCATCCTTGTGGACAAGTGTGTGCGTGCTGGAAATTGGAGTAGGTGGGTGGAACAGGCCAGTTATGCCATTAAGTCCTCTTCTGACCTCTTGTCCTGGTACAGAAGGATCTACTATAGATCCTTTCCAGGGCTCTAGTGAGTCCTTGGTCTATGGATCCCTGCAATAAAGCTTCCCTGGAGAAGACTCTCCCAGCCATAGCAGAGCCTTTGCTGTGGGGGGAAAAACTTTTGCTAAGCTTCTAACCTCAAACTTCCCTCTCATCTGTTTGTGTGTCTTTTGTTTTTTTTTTTCCTTTCGGTCCTGGTATTTCCTCTACCAACTCCTATGCTGGTTGCATGATGTGCCTTATCAGAGGACATGTGTATGCCTTTTCTGAGGGCTAGATATGACAGTTCCACTGCATTCCCAGCTAAAATGACTCTAATCCCTTTCTCTCATTTTAGGACCTCGATGTCTCATTCTGACAAGGGTTTACAAAATTCAGAGCAAGCCCAATCCTCAGCTGCTGCAAGTCAGGTTATGTACTGTAAATCTATTTTCAGCTAAGCATCTGGCCCATGGGTTGAATAGTAATCTAAATTGCATTTATCCTGTATATAAGGACAGAGTGGGGAAGGAAAAAGAAAAGGAAATTGTGGCCTGCCAGATCAGTATTGTCATCCAGACACTTGTAGTGTTTGCAAAATGGCTCTGTCTTGTGCCTGTCAGTTGTTAAGGTTGTGCCTTTTGGAGACTTCCTGTCTAGCCAGATGGTTCTTCAGTTCTCTAATTGTTCTTCCTTATTCTGCCAACCCAACACTTCTGATTGCCTTAATACCCTGCCAGGGATCTAATACCAGCATACCCATCATGGTGAGAGCAGCAGATGTCCTCAAGTACCTGTCTAGTTCTCTTCTAGATAACTCATTATCTAGGCATGAAGGATCTCTAGCACTTCACAAATCATAATGCAACACCACTGGAATGCAGCCACCTCTGGGGTGGAGCATGGCAACCAGGTAAAAACACTTTAGTTGTTTCAAGCCTGATGTTTGGGTCACCTAATAAACTAGAAATGAGGGGGGGAAATCCCATTAGGCCTAGCCCACTGCCTCCGTAGGCAGTGCAGCATGGCTTCTTACAGTTGCTTCTCTGGTCTTGAGTAACTTGATAAATGGGGGCTTTTATCAGTTCCCTAGGGGGAGACCTTTTTTCCCCCCACATCCTAATTGGGTTTTTGTCTTGCATCAAGGGCAGACACTTGAGTTTCTTCTGGTGTCAGTATTGGTTCTGTAGGGGAGAAGTGGGTGGACTTCTTTTAAAAAACATTCAAGTTGTTGGGGTTTTTGGTTTTGTGGTTTGTTTTTTATTTAAAAAAAAAAAAAAAAAAAAACTTTTTTTTTTTTTTTAACTAAAAACTCTAAAACTAGCCAGGCTCAGCCAACTCTAATGCCAAGCCCAGCCTGTTGCTTGTGAAATGGACTGAGTGGTCTCACTTCACTGTTCCAAGCCTGCTGCAAATACATGGCATCAATTGAAGAAAATCAAATCCTACATGTTACCAATTTTTCTAGTGTTAATAGTGATTATTATTGGTGGCCAATGGAAAAGTCTTTTACCTTTTTGTTAATGTGTTGTTTTAATCACTGTGACATGCAGTGTTTGCCTGAGGATTTTCTGTTGCATTTTTAAAATTTAAATGCAAGCAGCTTGAAATAGCTGGGTATGGGGGGGGAACAAACTTGCAGTGACCTCTAACACTGTTACGGTGTGTGTGTGTGTGTGTGTATTTTTCACATAATGTTTTTTTATAAACCTGTGCTTTTACATTTTGAAAGTAAAATAAACTGAGTTTGTGTTAATGTCTCCCCTTCTTTCCCCCCCTTAATATGATAACTTCACTGCTTTCATCCAGAAGCATGAGAAGCACTCTACACTGACTAACCCCTTTACAGAGGGAGACGAAGAACAAACTCAATCATGTCAGCTGGCAGTAGTTGCAAACCATGAGTCAGGCCCTAAAACTCATAGGATATCAGCATTTTAAAAACAGTGGGTGCTTTTCTTTATCTCCAGGGGAGGATGGCTTCCTGTTTCCAGGGCTCTCTCCACAGCCATAGAACTTCTTCCTTACTGGAAGCAGAGATCTTGCTCCAATCCAAAGATTACAGGAATTTATCTTTAAGGAAGCACTAGAATTGACAGTTCTGCAGAAGTTCATTCTGAGTGAGAGCTGATGCACGACAGCTGTTTCAGGGTGTTGTGTTCTCCAGATGCCTGCATTTATGAGGTGTCCCTGCATTTGAGGCCATGAACAGGTGTTACAAGTTGTGCCAGAATTTTTTTTTTTTCCTTCAGTACAAAGGGTGAACAGAGCTGTTCAAGCACTTCATGGTGAAAGAAACCTAGGGCTCCTGCAACAAACTGCTAGCTTTTTTTTTCCAAGAGAGCAAATTATCTCATTTGGGGATTTTTTTTTCTAGTGCAATGTGTAATGCCTGTATGCTTATGCCTGGTGCACTAGGTTCCCTGGGACCCCCATTATCCCACAGTCCCTGGGTTTAGCCACTCTTAATGAGTAGTCAGGGTGCTTACTCCTGGATAAGGGAACCTGAGGTATGTTTGGGGAGGGTGCTGTGTCCCTACACCAGAGCTCTGTGGCTAGCTTATGTGACTGCCTACAGCCTGGTGGCTGCTAATGTACTGATGGTAAAAGCTGGTTTTGCCTGTGCTCTCTTAGCCAAGGTGAGAAGCCTTGCAGGTGTTCTAGCAACAGGGCAAGTGCCAGTGTTGTGGCTGTGGGCCATAGGTGTGAGAACAGTCATCTGCCTGCAGGGCAGGGCAGCACTGAATGGAGCTGGCTTCTGTGCTGCAAAAACTGGCATTTGCTTGTGTCTTGAGGCCAGTCTGGGACCTAGGGCAGCAGCTATCGCTGCAAGCACAGCACCCGTTACTGACAGGGGCAGGAAGCATACCTCCTGCCTCTCTTCCTGGCAACTGGGCCTGCCCCTGCTCTATGGCTACCTGATGCCAAGTTGGTATCAGCTGCAGGCAGTGTGCCATGAGGTCAGGGGGAATGAAGAAGCAGCTCCCTATTGCCCCCTGGCTTGTGAGCTTGCCTTTGAGGTGATTTCCCTGCTCTCTACAAGGGCAGTGGAACAACTGTATGCCAGCCTTGCAGACTGCCTGGAACTATGCAGTGCTAGAACTGAATGCCTGTTCCTAGCCTTTGTCTGGCTCCTGCTTCTTTCATTTCTCTCCTTGCACCTGGAGCCTTCTACTGAGCAGTCCTACTTGTTCTGAGCCCTGCAACCTGCCAGGTCTGCTAGGGAGACAGTCAAGTAGGGGAGAATAACCAGATCAGCAACCTTGGGCAACAGAGCTGTAATGAATGTTCCCCTTCCCCAGCAATCTCAATGCTGCTTCCAGATGATGGGTTGAAAATTGAGGGCTGGTCCAGGCTCTGCTGGTGGAGAGCTGGACCATCACAGACCCCTAGTGGACACAGCATTTGCTGGCAAGAGGATCCCTTCTTACCTGTGTAACTCAACCTCCTCCCTGAACCCCCTAAGCTAGATCCACTGAAGGACTCTGGCTACTGCATCTTGTATGTGCATGGGAGGGGTCTGTGGCCAGAGCTGTCAGTCAGGAGTCTGACCTCCCTCCCTCTCCTTCCTGCCCACCGTACTTCTAATGGATAGCTGTGCTGATCAAGCTTTCTGGCATGCGTTTGGCTTCTAGTCCTCTGCTGCTCAAGAACCAATATGGGGAGGAACAAGGCAGGCTTCCCCAGGCTCACTGTCCCACATCCAGCCAATGGTGATTGGTTTCTTCCTGGCTCCCACGGTTACTCCTGCCACAGATGTGAAGGATGCTCAGTTTCCACAGCCTGTGCAATCTTTGGCCCTTTACTGAGACTGCTACAAATAAAAGAAGGGGCCAGCCAATACCAAAGATGAGGGCAGTGTTGTGGTCTAACCATTATACGGTTAGCAGGTGTAGTGGAAACACATGCAGCATACTTTTGGGTCAGGTCAGCAGAAGCTTTTATTCAAAAGAAACTACAGCTGTAGGGGGGGATTCCAAAGTGACATGGATTTCCCAAGCACTTGGAAGGGATCCCCCCCCAAGAGCAAAATCAGGAGGCTTATATACTTATTAACAGTTGCTTACAACTCATGTGATCATATAGTGAAATTAGCATGAAAAGGGGCTATAATATTACTTCATTATTTCTTTGCTGTAATCAGGATGGGAACTAATGGGGGAGGCGAGGTTAGTTCACAAACCTCCTTCTTGCACCTGGAAATCAGATTTGTACATACTTTTTTGCTATCTTCAAGGCCGTGGTGAGCGAAGCAGTTGCAGAGGAGTTACAAAGAACAAACACTTTCTCTTATCTGTTCTACTATACAGAGCCAGCAATTCTCCACAAAGCGGTTATGTCATCTTATAACTAAAATAATCTAAGTTTAAGGCATATATTTTTTCTGATTCCACAGTCTCCCCCTTTGAGACTATTTAGTCTCACTTTAGCCTTAAATTTTTATTCTCATGAGCCCCTCTATTTCATCATGCAGCCTTTCATGTTTTCTTTCAATCTGCTCAC